TCCCATCCCATCCCATCCCATCCCATCCCATCCCATCCCATCCCATCTCTCTCTTCATTCCATCCCTTTTTCCACTCCATCCCTCTGACCTTGGAGCCATCTCCATGTGATGGAGATGTGGGGCTCACCTGAAAGGCAGCCGCCAGCTGCCATGGGGACCAGCAGCTTTATCTGGGCAGGATCGAGGAACATCACATCCTGGAGGGAGATGGTGGCATTATTTACAGTGCTGAGCTAAAGAAGGGAATGCAGTGTGGAGCTCAGCACCACGTAGGACATTCTGTGGTGTGAACGTAGAGCTGTAGAGAGCTTTCTGGATGTCTCCTGCATTCCGTGTGCTCGTGGCCTTCCTCAGCCCCAAAGGCAAGGAAGGGTGGGGAGCAATGAGACCATGGCCCCTGCGTGCCTATAGCCTTGTGATATATGGTGTAGGTTGACCTTTTTATGGGAAACCCATGGGCCAGGAGAGCAAGGAGGGCATTGTGTGATCCAAATAAGTGCATTTCCAAATAGGAGGCTTGCAGCACAGTTTTCCCCATCCTGAGGGGCAGAGCCTCAGTCCCATAGAGGACACAGATGGGGCCGGAGGCAGCGCCCTGCTAACTGCCCGTCCTGCTCTGCCTCGGGTGACCTTGAGCACGGGCTGTTATCTTATTTGTGAAATAGGCACAAGATAGCTGCCTCCTCTGAGGGAATGCAACGTGTGAGCATCAGCAGAAGCGCCGGGAGCGGGGAGCAGCCCCAACCCACACCTTGCTCTGAAAATGCCTTGCATTGCGGGGCTGGGGGGGAGCGGGGGCTCAGGTGCAGCAGGGCCATGGGTGCTGGTGCTGAGGAATTTGGGCTCGGGGCTGGCTGTAGGCTCTGCCTCCCATTGCTGAGCCCTATCCCCCCCCGAGGCTCTCTTCCCACTCTTTGAATTAGCAGAGCCATCAGTTGTGAGGCTCTTTGGATTCCAAGAAAGGGAGGCTTTTCAATTTGTAAAATTCCCCCCCTAAATAAGTGTGGGGAGGAGGGGGGCAGCCCTGCGGTGTGCAGCTTCTCCCTCCATCCTCTGACAGTGTAGTGTGAGGTGGTGCAAAGCTTTGGGACACTGCTGAGATGGGGAGGATGGAGGGGGGCTGCTTATGGGGCTTGGGGGCTGCACCTGAAGAACGATCCAGGAGGGCAGGAGCCATCACTGCTGGTGCACTGCTGCTGTTGGGTTGCATGGCCTTGGGCAACTCATTAAGGCCAAAATGCTCCAACTGAAGTGATGGGAGATAAGCAGTGAAATAAAATGCCTCTTTGTTAAGGGTTCTGAGGTCAATGTCTTCAGGAGTACTCAGGTGTTTGGGATGAGGATGGCGGTGCTGGAGGTCCTGTCGCCCTGGTTAGGGAGCTCAGCCTGCTGGTGCTGCGATGAATGCTGCAGATTGGACATGGCCAGGCCCATGGCTGAGCTCCAGCAACAGGAGGCCAGCAGCGAGCTGGGGCTGTTGCTCTGCATGCCTTTAAACCTGAATAAATCATTTCAGGCCCATGTGTTGTTTCACTCGCATGAAATCTACCCTGACAGCTGTGGCAGAAGCGTGGGGCTCTGCCCTGAGCCAGGCTCAGCAGTGGGTTCTTGTGGGCTGCTGGCATCCCCAGGGGCACTGTGTGCTGCCAGGGCAGCAGGAGGAAGCACTTTGGGTGTTCCCTTTGGTCAGTGTGGGTGGGTTCACCCACGGGGCTGCAGATCATTGTGGGTCACATCTGCCCGTGCTCTACAGGGCCGTCGGTTCATGCAGGACTGTTCTGAAAAGCAGAGGAGTTGGGGTGCAGTGAGCATCTCATCTGACAGCAGCGACACATCCACGTGTATGTAGGTGTGTATATTGATGCATGTACACATCTGTCCCCTGGAGGTGACCCCCAGAACCAAAGCCAGCACCCAGACTCACACACGTGGAGCTGGGGCAGGAGCATCCTGATGATGTGCACTATGGGGCTCTGTGTCCCTGCCCTTCCTTGATTTCACCCCAGTGAAACCAGTCCTTGCTGCCCACTTATGGGAACCTTGCAGTCATTCAGCCCCTGCACGGCCCTCAGCATTTTTGCAACTGCTTTGCCAAATTGACATTAATTGTGGAAGGGGTGGAAAATCCTCCAGCTCCAGCTCATGCCCCAGGAGCAGAGCACAGGTGGAGGAACCCGGGAGTGCTTTGCTGTGTCGGGAAGGGTGTGTGGGGCTGTGGATCACTGCTGACTTCAGCACATCCCCTCACTGCCTGCAGCCCCTAATCCTCCCTACGTGCAGCCTCACAGATGGCCCCAGGTCAGGCAGAGACCCACGGCCCTGTGTGACCCCAAAGAGATACACGGCCGGGACAGGGAGCAAAGGGCACTGCGGGGACCCCGAGGAATGGGTTTGAAGGGGAAGCATCAATGTGTGCTGTAAGCAGGTGGACAACAGAGCTCAGGAATGGGGAACGGCACGTGCTGTTTGCACATCGCTGGTGGTGCCCACAGTGCCACAAAATGCCATTGGTGTCCCCTGCAGCGGGCTTTGCTGAGGGCTGGTTGGAAGTGAAATGATGGAGTAGTGAGTAAAGAGGCAAAGAATCGACGTCCAAATACTTAGTAACATCAGCAGTGCATGGTGCCATTGGAGATGATTTGCTCTGCCTCCTTCCTCATGCCACCTCCTTAGCAGGTGTCAGTGGCTGCCCTGCAGTGTAGGGTGAGCAGTTCAGGGGCTGAGCACGGTCCCAGCACAGCAGCAGATGGGGAGCAGGCAGAGGTAAGGCTCAGTTTGATGCCATCACCTTATTTTTCATATCTGAAACT